AGAGAGAGAGTCTAGTCATAGGAACGACTGCGCTAGGCTGTCAACGAGGCTCGGGCATGCTCCCAATACATTTCCATGTGCTCTTTGTCCAGCGTCGCATCTATCAAAGGGCTGCGCTGCAGCAGATCCAAACACCTGGCATGCACTCAGAACATTTGCGGAAGGACAATCCAAGGACAAAACGAGGGAGCTTTAATAAGGACCCCTAGGTAGAGAACCTGAATATAGCCATTATATACTCATTATATCCCATTAAGGGTCCTCCTTCTGCCATTTGAGACAAACGGGCCTGCAGCGTTCGCAGATTCCAACCACTCAGCCCTACACCCCCAATCCCCAAAGCTCTCAACCCTTAGCGCTAAAGCCGAAAGCCCCAAAGCATTATCGAACCCTAAATTCTTAAAGAAACCCTTCACCATAAGGACCCATAGGGAGTAGGGGGACGGGGGTAGGGGGCCTTAATATCTGCAATAAGGACTTAGTAAGGCCTACTTAAAGGAAGTATAGTCCCCTACCCCCCTCCCCCTTCCCCCCAAACCCTGAACCCTGAACCGCAAACCATTATCGAACCTTCAGAACTCTTAAAGAAACCCTTAATGGAACTACTGGCAACAGCTCACAGGAAGCCACAAGCGCCTGTCTTCCAGCTTCGTCTCAATGCGATGGGAGAGAATTAACTGCCGGGGCAGTTGGTGTTTAAGGGTTTATGGTTTAGGGTTCCTCCTAAAGTTTACGGTTCAGGGAATTAAGTGCTTAGGGGTTTCGGGGTTTATGGCACACCGTAGGGTTTAGGGGTCAAGGCTGCATCGGGTTTTAACCGGAGCAGGATTCTTGGCCGGGCGCTAGAGGTGTCTCAAAGGGAGTATGGAGTAGCAGGGGTAGAACATCCGCAAAGTGTTCTGTGCAGGTTGCACGCGGGGTTGCGTTTTCGGCCGACTCCTGTATTGCAATGCTTCACGGTCCATCCTGTTGTGGTTGTTTGCTTTTCTCTTTTCGGTCGCAATGGCTCGATGATTCCACTAGTCAAGCTCCTTCTGCGTCTCGGTTCTTCCATTGCTCCAGTGATCGGTCGTGCGAACATCCAATAAGTTAGTTGAAAGGAAAGCTCTGTGCAGCCTTGATTGCGGGGTTCACTACAGGGTTTGCCATTCGCGACTCACTGGTCACTCCCAAGCAGCCCGAAGCAACTTGAACCCAGAAAAACTTCACATGCAACCCCTTGATGATTTGCCAAGCTCCTATTGCCTACATCCTCAACTCCTCAAACCCCTCAACAAAACCCCAGCACAGCAACCAACAACAAGTAACAGACACAAGCACATCCTAAACCCCAAAGCGTACAAGTCCCAAACCCTATGGTGACACTTACTGCAAACTGTCACCTGGAAGGAATCCTTTCAGGAACCCTCACAGGAAGCATCCGAAAAAAGTCCGAAACCTTAAACTCAACAAAAACCCAAAAAGCCCCAAGCATGAGAAAAGCTCTAAGCCCGAAAACCTTGTTGTACCCTTGTCGGAAACCTTACAGAAACCCTGAAAGTTGAAAGGAACCCTTCAAAGAACCCAAAGGGGAACCCCTAAACGAATCTTTAAGAAGCCCTTATCAGAAACCTTACAGATACCCTCACCCTAAGCCCTAAGCCCTAAACCTAAAACCCCGAAACCCTAAACCCTAAAACCCTAAAGCCCCAAAACCCTAAAACCCAAAACCCTAAAACCCTGAAACGCTAAAACCTCAAAGAATCGGCCGTGACCTGCAAAGCTTCTGAGATGTTCTGCGCATGATTCTGGAGCTTCTCCTGCTCAGGGCCGCTTTAGGATTTTTGGGTTCAGGGTTTGGGGGTTTGGTTGGGGCTTCGGGTTTAGAATTCGGGTGTAGGGTTTGGGATTAGGGGTTTATAGCGTTGAGGGTTTAGAATTCGGGTTTAGGGTTTGGGGTTTGGGGTTGAGGGTTTGGGGTGCAAACCCTTGAATTCCTGTACAGTCCGAAGAGGGTTGCATAATTCAGGGCCCCGAAACCACACAAACCCAGAAACCCCTCATACAGGGGCCTTAAAAATTAGAATAGGGTTTAGAGTTTAGGGGCCCGTTATACTATAACCATAGTAAGGATCCCCGAAGATAGTATTGGTAATGGTTTCGGCCCCAATATTAACCCTGCTTCCCAAAAAGAACCCTTAAGGGCTCACGGTGAGGGGAGTAGCACGGCCACAGTTTCTCCGGTTTGAGCTCCACCGCACCAACAGCACCAGTGCTTAACAACTTTCGGGGTTGAGTAGGAGGGTTTAGGGCTTCGCTAAGGGGTCTAGAGTTTGGAGTTTAGGGCTTTAGGGGTTTAGGCTGTTGGGTTTGCGCAATCGTTGTGTCGGTTGCTGCAGCTGGAGCTGCACCAAATGGGGGCAAGTTCGTTAGCAAGGCTCTGATATTAGAGCCCCAAGCCATAGGCTTAGGGTTCAGGGCCTTAGTTTAATAACTAGAGTAGGGTTCTGGGGCATGCAAGAGTAGAGTATGTATAGTAACAGTTGAGGTATAGAAGCTAGTAATATTCTGCAATACTCCTTCTGGAACCCTTCTGCTAGCTTTTATCATTGCTTAAGGTGCCCATGACCCTGTAACAGTATAGGTATCCTAAACCCTGCACCCTAAACCCCCAAACCCTAAACCCCTCAACCCACCTAGACCCTAAACCCCTAAATCCCTAAGACCCTAAACCCCTAAACCCTACCCTTAAGGAACCCTTACGGGAACCAGAAAAAGCCCTTAAAGGACATGAAGTGCAGTACAAGTGCGGGCCTCCCAGGATTGCACGAGGGCGCTCGAAGTCAGAACCTGTCGCTGGACATTCCGCAGAGTTCACATGGGTGGTTTAGGAGTTAGGTTCACAACTGAGGAGCAGCTCGCTAAACCCTGAAGCTCTAAATCCCAAACCCTAACGCACCACTGAAGCCTAAGTCCTAGACCTGACTGCCAGAGCAGCATCGACTGCGAAAATGCGAACCCCGAACCCCAAAGTTACCCCAAACCTTTGTGGCGGGATCGGGTGTGGACTCTCGACGGTCAAAAAACTGGGCTTCACAAATTTCCGGTCAGCCTTTGGACCTCACGGTTCAGGGCTTTAGGGTTTAGGTTTTTTAGCCCAAGACAACACTGTTATCTGATACTCATACTTTGCAGCACAGTTTAATTTCTAGGTGTCTCTGAAAGCTGGTTTTCCGTTTCGGGGAGCTCCGACGGAACAACCAAACCTCAAAACCTGCAACCTGGAACAAAAAGCCTTGCAGATTTCCGGTATAGGATGAAACAATTCTGGACAGAGGCCAAAATTCAACATCCCCAAGCCCAAGCCCCAAATCCTGACAACGAATCCGCCGAGGCCCTAAACCCTAAACCCTGAACCCTAACACCATGCCTCTAGAACGGAAGGTGGTCCCGCAGAGGAGGGATACTCCTGCGAAGTCGGTCTCGGGCTTTAGGGGTTGAGGTTTAGGGTTAAAGATTTGTCTTGGGGGTTTAACGGTTTAGGGTTTAGGATTTAGGGCTTCCGGTTTAGGATTTGGAAGCTTAGGGCTTGGGGGTTTGGAGTTTGGGAGTTTGGGGGGGCTCAGGTTAGGTTGAAGGTCAGCTTGAGGGAAGGTGGGGTGGGACGGGCGAGGCTCGGGGTCGACTTGGAGGTTCATGAGTAGTTGTAAGTGGGGTTTATGAGTCGCCTAATATGGATCAGAAGTAAATTTACCCTACTTATAACCCCACTGAAATCTACCCATGTCCAAGTGCGGCTAAGGGGAAAAGGATGGGTTTCGGGCGCCAGCAAACTTACGGGTGTCTCTTGCTGTTACATGCGCAGGCCCCTCTCGGGACTTGTGCTCCAGCGAACCCTCGTATAGATAGACGCTGAAATAAAACCTTATAGATAGACGATACATTGCTCAGGTAGGTGTATGGCACGACCTCCCCGTCACCCTGATTAGGATAATCTATCTTACGATCTCAACCCCAATACTGGGGCATCCACCCCAAGATCCCAACCACGATACCATGCTAGGAGTAGCTTACAACTATCTGGCTAATGTAGAATTTGCGGTAACGCTTAAGGTTCAGAATTTCGAGCAGTGAGTGTCGGTCACTTTTCACAGGAAGCGTTGCAACTAGGCATTTGTGTCCAGTTCGAAGACGTCGTAACCCAGAAACGTTAAAGGTTACCTACTCCACTCGACTACGAAGTAATCCCAATAATTGCACATACTCTTCTGGAGAGTTCCGTCTTGCCCTCAAAGCCTATTAATACTCTTCAGGCCCCTACAAAACACTCCATCCTTTCTCAGCTTCCTAAGCACAAAGCCCCTAAAATCCCGACTAAAGAACCCTTGAAGGAACCCCGAAACGAACCCTTAAAGGAACCCCCCTTTTCAGCTTAGCGGCGGAGTCCATTGCCATGCTCGGGTTCTCGGCCTCATCTTCGATGTCGCGCACGGACTCATTCCTGGACTCGAGAAGGAAGCAGCGGGTTAGGATTTACGGTTTCGGGAGGCCGTGAGAAGACTTCGGACATAGGGTTTAAAGCTTGGGGGGTGGTTAGTGTTTAGGGTTTAGGATGCAGGGCCCGGGGGTTAGAGTCGAGGGTTTGGTGGTTTAAGGAAGCAAGAACAGACTTGGGCGTTCAGGGTTTAAAGGCTTTGTTTAGGGAGGGTTTCGGTTCAGGGTCTGGGATTTAGGGGTTAGGGTTTAGGGTAATTAGGGCTTAAACTGTAGGGATTAAGCTTTAGTGCTTAGGATTTAAAATGTAGGGTTGGGCGCAGCGGTCCTTCAGGAGGGATACCGAGTATTTCAAGAAATTCCTGGAGCAGGGTTCAGGGCTTCAAGGTTTGGGGCTTTGGGGCTTTAGGGTTGCGGGATTAGGGTTTTGGGGTTCGGGACAAGGGCCATATCAACGTACCCCTGTCAAACCCCATGTTCAGTCACCAAACCTCAGCCATCGTGGTTGGGGTCTCGAGCTTAAGTTTTCAGAACAGCGTCTCTGCCCAGGTTTTCGAAGCCATCAGGAAGAGGGTCAAGTTGTTCATGCAGTTCTGCAGAATGTCCAGCGAGTCGCGGTAGAGCCTTGCCATAGCACTCTACACCCTCAACCCCAAACTCTGAACCCGGAACCCCAAAATCCCGAAACCCCTAGACCGACTGCCTTTCCGCAGTCGGCCAGTTGGAACCTCTTGGCTCACCTCCGTTTTGTCTTGCATTCCCCTGCAAAGCCCTACAGCGCCCCGCACTCTAAAACTCCAAGGCTTGCTTGCAGGATCTCCTGCTCTGAGAAACCTCCCAAAGACATGCCATGGAGGGTTTAGAGTTTAGAAAAGACATGGTGCTCCGGGCCCTGCCAAAAGGTCGGGATTCCATCTACACTATTTCTGATTGAAGGAACCACGCGAGAACAATAAAATCCCATGTACACCCCAAGCCCAAAACAGCAGATTGATGGCATGAAGTGGCACCGCTCCTCCCTGGATGTTGCTTGAGCTTCCTTCTGCGATCAGTTCCAAGGTTGTAGTACAGGGCCTTAACTATGAATTACCGGTACATTATGCTATCGCATAAGGACACTAGGGGAGTTGGTCTTACCGATTGTTCAGGCTTCTCTGGGAACCTAGTTTCGTTTCAGTGCTGGTCGACCAGCGCAACATGCTCTGTCGGTGGCTGCTAGCAGTTGTGGACACGCCTCAGAGGCAGGGCAGCACAAAAAACATGCCGTCCCCATGCCCATGGCTGCACTGCTAGCCTGACTGTACTTTTGGGAATCATAAGGATTCGCTCCAAAACATTCGCGACACAGGAACAATACAAGATTGAGTTGGAGACGAAAGAAGCTGCATGCGTTGAAACTGCAATCGCCACCCTTGCTCTGATAGGAAGGGCGACCTAACTTTAACGACTTAATGCCTAAAGCCTAAATAAGACTCCGTAGCCAGAGGTTCGTCGATCCTGAAACCGTAGGCCCTAGATATCTAGACCTCACTGAAGAAAGTGAACTGGTGCATCTTGCCCTGGCTTCTGGTTGAGGACTTTGACGTTACTTTAAGTTACAGTACCACCATCGGCCTCTGGCGTAAATCATAGACTTTCCTGATTATGGTAACTTGAACTTAACTTTTCTTTACAAGAACCCGGTCTCAGGCTACTGCGCGATCTTGAAAGGCGTCTGGGGGCCCGCCGCGATTCGCGATTTCGGATCGGCCTCCAAGCTTCGGCCAGCCACAGCAACGGCTTCGGGTTGAGGGGCTTAGGGTCTAGGAATTGCAGCACCCATCGGACAGTAGCAGCAGCAGGGACAAGTCGCACGGGTTTAGGGTTGGGGGCTTTGGGGTTTAGGGTTTAGGGTTGGGGTGTTTGGGGTTTAGGGTTTTTGGGGGGCAGGAGGGGGCTTGCAGTTTGCTGCTTTTTTGATTTGGCTTGGAGGGGCTTAGGATGCGGTTAGCCTTCTACTTCAAGTGTGCTGCTGGGCAGCTGCTGTCACCATCATAGCACTTGGCACTGCTGCCTAAAGCCCCCAAGCATATGCCTTGCCCTAAACCCTTGCTACAACCCCCCAAACCTAAACCCAAAACCCCAAAGCCCCCAACCCTAAACCCCAAAGCCCCAACCCTAAACCCTAAACCCCAAAGCCCCCCCAACCCTAAACCCCAAAGACCCCCGCCTCGGTCACCAAAGACCGAGCGCGGGCCATGCAGGTATCCGCCTCGTTCAAGGCCTTCTGCAAAGCCTTGCTTTGGAGGGCTGTTGAGTTTGTTTTCATCATTTTTCGAGGGGGGTAGGGTTTAGGTATGCTTGTTCTGGAGCAGGGGTGTTACATTGCTTAGGTTTTGGAGGCCGAGCTGCGATAGATCAGAACGGGTTACCCTGGGACCTGCGATTTAGGGTTTAGAGGAGCAGGGGCAAACCCTAAGCCCTAAACCCTAAACCCTAAACCCTAAACCCTAAACCCTAAACCCTAGCCCTAAACCCTACACCCCGAAGCTTAACAAAGGGTCGAAGGGTTGGGGACTTGCAGAGCTGTGGCCTGGGAGGGAGAGAAGTGGGGTCTGCGGCTGAGGGCTGAGAGTGTCGGGTCTACGGCTGTCAGGGTTTGGGTTTAGGGTTTAGAGCTTAAGATTTAAACTTTTTTGGGGGGTTTAGGGTCGCACATTGGTAATGTACATAGTAGAATACCATCCCCTTATATTCCCAACTTGACTACAGTACAGGGTACCCTATTATTCAGGCCCTTACATTGGGGCGAGTCATGTCCGGGCGCCTGATGCTGGAGCTTCGGGCTGGAAGTGTGGGGCCAAAACATGAACCAGTCTTGCTGATGAGTTCCAAGAGTCTTCAAGGTCGTTCCTCAGTGAAAGGGACGGCGACTAGTTCTGCTTTACTTGATGCACTCTGCTTGCAGTCATGTCCATTCTGGGCAGTGTGTCTATGGTCGTGGGTGTTGGTCTGCTGTACTAAACATGTGGCTTCTAAGCTGAATGCCCGGATTCAGTCAGCTGCACAAACAGCCTCGAAAGTGGATAGACTCCAGTGCACAGTATTCGAAGATCGATACTGCAGCACATAATATAGGGGCCTGAATAATTAGAATGAGCTTTGGGGAATATTGTACTATAACTACAATAAGGAACCCCCAAAAAAAGTCTAGGTAATCATTCAGGCCCCTATGTTAGCTGGGTTCAGGGAGGACAATTCGGAGCTTCTCCTTCCAGCCGGCCCGACTTCGACTCGTGCAGTGGTCTTCGGGTTTAGGGTTTAGGGTCCCTGCCCCAAGGTCCTGGCATGCCATGTAATACGCAGCCTCAAGCCCTGAAGCGCGAAATCTGAAGTCCGTAAGCTCTGAACCGGGTTGAGGGTTTAGTTCTGAACCCTGGACTGTTGAAGACCCGTGTCTAGGAGTAGGACTTGGGCTTTCTTGGATGCATGCCCTAAACCTCCCCTGTTTTTGCTATAGCTTTGTGTTTCCGGAACAGCGCGGCGTCAGGGATTCGAGGTTTTGCAACTTTCGGCTCAAAGCCCAATACCAGGAAGCCAAGACTCTGAACCACTTTGCCCAACCCGGCAAAGGCTCAATGGTTAGTCCCAAAGTCTGAAATGCCTCGGAACCTGACACCGAATCCATGGCTTAGTCAGACGTATGTATGATGCCATAATATACTACTACAATACCATGATATGATATAATGTGGTAGAATATAATACATGTATATATATATATATATGATTATATTGCATTATATATATATATATGTATAATATCTTTATTATATATAAAATGGAAAAAAATATATGTATATATATATATATGGTACCCCCCCGCCCCCCAAAAAAAGATCCATGCTTTTTTGGTTTTCTCAACTCTTCCCACTCACAATCCGCACAAACCAACCACCGCACAAACTCTTCCCACTCACAATCTGCACAAGCCGACCATCGCACAAACCAACCATATTGAAACCCAATGCGGCTCAATATTCAATGCGTCATCCGAGGGGGGACCACGTTGAAATATTGAGCCACATTGGGTTTCAATATGCCGGATCCAAGATCCAAGATTGCACTGGACCCCTGGGAGGAATCTTGGATCACGGGTCTTAGGTACACCATATTGAAATTCAAAATGGCCTCAATATTTCAATATGGCGGATCCGAGATCCAAGATCCAAGATTCCTCCCAAGAGCCCTGTGCAATCTTGGATCTTGGATCTTGGATCCGGCATATTGAAATTCAATGTGGTTCAATATTTCAATGTGGCTTTCCGCGGGGCGGAGCCAAATTGAAATCCAATGTGGCTCAGTATTTCAATGTGCTCCTCTGTCCTTTGGTATTGCTATTTCCACGGCTTTTGTGACACTCTGCATGTGCATCGACGGTCTTCTCGGAAAAGGAACAAATCACTTGTGTTGTGAGTGCAACGCGAACTTTTGTCTGTTATCGAGAATAGCATGGAACATCTGTATACCAAACGAGCACAGGCATGGACCCACACGCACCTCATCACTCCCATCATCACCATCATCACAAGCATCATCGTCATCATCGTCATCGTCATCGCCATCATCTTCCTTATGACCGTCGTCATCATCTTTGAATCTTCGTCCTGCTATCTTCAACATTGAACAAAAACCCCAGACCCCACAATATATTATCATATATATGGGCATATATGCATATATATGTGTATGTGTGTTGTTAATATGTGCTTATATATGTATGGATACACACCAAATAGATGAACATTCGCGCAAGGTCTGGCCGCGAGCTCGACTGCACTTTCGTGGCACCACCGGGACCAAAATTGCATTAGTTGGGCTCAAGTCTTGCACTGAGAGGTAAAGTTCAAGATTTGTTGACGCCCCAAACCCTAAACTCCTAAACGGAGACTTTGTCCTAAAGCAAGACTTCCTCGTTGAGCGAGCCATGTCGACACCCGGAACTCCGATGATGCTCATAGGCGCCTTTTCTCGCAAAGATGAGCCGCCGAACTCACAGAATGCAGAAGTACCTGAACCGCCTGTTGGGCCATCACCACTACCTGTTGGGCGCTTGAGAAGTAGATCACCCATGTCACTGCCACATGAAGCCCCACTACCTGTTGGACGTCAGGAAGTTAGATCAGATGTGTCTGTGCAAGTAGAGCCACCTCAGCCTCCGCTTCGGCGAGATGTTGCTTCGTCTAGACCGGTAGAGCCGCCTTATCCTCCAGTACGAGACCTTCAGCTGCTGTCGGCAGGCGAAGAGAGCAAGATACCCGATACTGACCAGGAAGTCTGCACAGTCATGGTTAACTTGGCTGATTTCAAGACCGATGCGTACTACGACAAGAGACTGAGGTCCCACGTAGGATTCCATGTAAATATCCAAATGGAGCTTCTCCAGTCACAGCGCTGTCGACTCATACTTGCAACAGCTGCTACGCTATCTTGGTCTTGTAGGACAGTGAGAGTAGTGTGTCTTTGCAAGCGGGGACGGCATAGATCCGTTGCCACGGTAGCACTACTTGAAAAACTGTTTCACCGAATTAATCGGAATCTAGAGATATATGTGCATCACCTTGAGTCGCACCTGTGGTACAAAAGCACATGTGCAAGGGAATGCTCAATATGCCTGGCAAGTGAGACTCCTCCGCGAATGACGGAGCTGCTAGACCAGGTGTACAGTGAGATGCCGTGCCGAACGGTATCGAAAGACGTTCGGTATGTACGAGCAGACTGAATCTGTGAGCAACCGGAAAAAGGCTAAGCGGGTTGAACCCCCTTTTTCAGCATCATGAGCATCTTTCGTTTTAACCCTGCGCAAACACATAAACCCTACATCCCAGGTGATCTATGGCTGCTCGTCACTTTAGCTCTTGTTGGTTATCGGCCTAAGGGCTTTAGATTTTCAGAAAGGCTTTCGGGCTAAGTGTTTTAGATTTTCAGGAAGGCTTTCGGGCTAAGTGTTTTAGATTAGTTTTTTCAGGGAAGGCTTTCGGGCTAAGTGCTTTAGATTAGTTTTCTCAGGGGGGACTTTCGGGCTAAGTGTTTAAGATTTTCAGAGAGGCTTCCGGGTTAAGTGTGTTAGATTAGTTTTTTCAGGGGTGGCTTTCGGGCTAAGTGTTTTAGATTTTCAGAGAGGCTTTCGGACTAAGTGTTTTAGTTTTCACGGGGGCTTTCGGGTTAACTGCTTTAGATTAGGTTTCCAGAAAGGCTTTCAGGTTAACTGTTTGAGATTAGGTTCAAGAGCTTGTTGTTTCGGGTTCACGTTGGTAGGCTAACACAGCAAAGAGTAAAAAATCACGGATCTTTAGGGGGGTAGCATATGTATGTATATATATATATATATTAATATGATATGATAGAATATAATATAGCATAATATGATATAGGATCATATACTATAATATAAAATCATTAACGCAATTTGGCCAGAGGCTCCCCAGGACCGCTTGTAGCCCGGATTTCTTTTTCTCGCCACCTAGGCTGCTGAATGCTTTGGGGCTCCTGAAGCTGAGGATCCCTCAATGTATGGTATATGCTGGAGGTCAGGGTTCAGGGTGGGGATCTAGGGACTAGAAAAAACCTGACTGCAAGCCTGAAGCTGTTGAGGGCCTCAGTGGGGACGGATGAGTTTTTTGGGGTTTACGTCTTATGGCCTGCACCTCTTTTGAATGCTCAAGCTCCTCTCACCAAAATTACTCGCTGCGATGAGAAGGGAGGAGCCGCAAAGGAGTAGTGAGCACCGATTCAGGCGCAAACTACGGGGGCCCCAATGATCCGTAGCAGGTTTCGCGGTATGCTATAATAATGTGTACTGTAAATTCCTACTTCCGACCCGAGGACAGTGAGCAGTATAAGGCATGGGAAAAACGGCAGCAGGAGAATGAAGGGCCGGCCTGAATTTTAGCGTAACAATAGCCCGAAACCCCATTCTAATTGTAAAAAGAAGGCCAAGATTCCCCGTTGTGTGGTGTAGCCGAGGAAGATCCGGTCCAGGAGCATTCCGAGTTGACCGATCTCAGCACATCAACTCCATGAGGAAAGCCCATAGTTTGAGGGTTTAGGGTTTAGGACAGGCTGTAGATATGCGTAGTTTGAGGGTTTAGGGTTTAGGTTTAGTGCTGGTGCAGGAACCAAAACCGAGCAACCGGGGGTCATCCTTGGCTGGGTGAGTTTCGGGCAGAGTGTGGATAGTCTGCCTTGCAAAGTGCCTCCGTCCTTGCGAAAGAAAGGACAGACAAGCCACCGCCTGCGACTCCACATCGTTCTCCTTATCGTTCCTTACTCCTTCCGCAGCTCCCATCAAATGGCAATCTATTTTACATACAACAACTGAGACAGGCCTTCGAGACCCCGCTCATAATCTCAACAGCCATGTAGCACTTGCCGCCAACCAGTCTAAGTTAAGCCATGGTTGCCCAAAATGTCTACCCTAAATCCGTGGTCAAGTCCCAAACCCCACAATACAACAAGCCAGCATGATAAATATTGATATCCCCTTACAGCCCCACATGACCCTAAACCCCTATTCCAATCATTAAGACCCCTGCTATCTTCGCCACTGCCAAGTCCTGTCAAGCCGGGCGTCGGCCGCCGCTTCGGGGCCCTCTCGCTTGAGGAGACTGTCCACGAGCCTGTTTGTGTGTGGGTAATAGAGGTCAAACAGTTCAATGTTTTGTGATTCCTTATATTGACAACACAATATAGCCCAAAACCCGATTCTAATTATTGAGGCCCCTATATTAGGCTTGGGGCTTTCGGGCTTGGGGCTTTAAGGGTTGAGGGTTTAGCGTTGGCAGGGCCTTCGGGTGTACACAGGGCTTTCTGCTTCGAGCTTTGTTCAAGATACCTGATTTTCGAATTGCGCGTTGTACGTGGGGTGAGATCTGCAGGCATGTCGGCGTGGTCTTCAAGGGTTGTCCATCCGGGTTGTTCGCTCTTCCCAAGAGGGGGTTGCTATTGTCCAAAAGCAAAACGGATGCTTCCTCACTGCATTACGAAGCATATGCTGACAGATGATCGCAGCATCAGACACGCACACAGGCTGCTTTCACGCTTAGCCACCGCGGTGTCTAAGGCATCCGGCATCTATGGTGTCTTCGGAGATGCTGGATGGGAGTCTGTAGAGCTTCGGATTCACAGTTTGAGCTGAGCTGCAGGGCGACGACAGACTTAAAACCATCCCAGGTGTCATTCTCAAACGACCCATGTGCATCATCACATCGCCCTGCAAACGCTGAGCTCCAAGACCCTAAAGCCCTAAACCACTCCAATTCCTAAAGGCCCTAAACCCACTAAACACTCAAAGCCCTACAAACCTGAAGCCTAAACCACTCCAATTCCTAAAGGCCCTAAACCCACTAAACACTCAAAGCCCTGAAAACCTGAAGCCTAAACCACTCCAATTCCTAAAGGCCCTAAACCCACTAAACACTCAAAGCCCTACAAACCTGAAGCCTAAACCACTGAAAAAAACCCCTGTGGCGTGTCTGAGGAGGGAGCAGCTGCACTGCCAAGGCCATGGTGATCTGCCCGAGCCTGATATTGGCGAACCGTGAAGGTCCAGGGTTAGGGTTCAGGGTTCAGGATTCAGGATTTAGGCTTTAGGGGTCAGGGCTCAGGGTTCAGGATTTAGGCTTTAGGGGTCAGGGCTCAGGGTTCAGGATTTAGGGTTTAGGGGTCAGGGCTCAGGATTTAGGGTTCAGGGTTTAGGGTTTGGGGCTTAGGGTTTAGGGAGGCTTGGGCCCTTGAGATTTGGGCTTGGGGCTCCGGGGCCGAAGGGTTCAGGGGTTCTTGTAAAGGGCTTAGGCTCTAAGGGTTCAGGGTTTAGGGTTTAGGGTTTAGGGTTTAGGGTTTAGGGTTTAGGGAATAGGATTCAGGGGGGTTTTGTAAGGGGCTAAGGCTCTAAGGGTTTAAGGGTTTAGCTTTGAGGGTCTAAAGGTTAAGACTACGCTAGGGTTTAGGGTTCAGGCCTTGGGGTTTAGGGTTTAGGGTTTGGGGTTTTGGGCATAGGGGTTCAGGATAGGTTGGGGCTTGGTGTCCAGAGTTTTGGGCTCTCTGGGTTGATGGTCTGGGGTTGAAGATGAGGGAGTGGGCTTTCAGGTATAGCTCAAGTAAACCACACGACTTTCCTCCAACCCTAAACCCCAAACCTTATACCCTAAGGCCAATGAAGACGCAGAGAGGCCGTGTATACAACCTGTCAGAAACTAGCTTCAGCATCCTCAAGCCATTAACACCCTAATACCCTACAGCCCGCCGAATCACACCAAACACTTAATGCTGAGCCCTTAACACCCCCCTCACAACGTTGACCGGCCCAGTCGCTCGCAGTATCGCGTGTTGAAAAGATCCGTGTTCAGGCCTCGCAGCAGCAACAGCTGCTATGGGTTTAAACTTTTCTGCGTTGGTAACATACTCCTTAGGGTTCGCAGTTGAAGTTCAACTAGAATGCACCCTCCAAAAAAGGGCTCCTTGGTTTCGGGTTTGGGGCTAACCACGTTTAACGGGTGACATCTAGGGCCCAGGATTATTCAGAATCTGCTGGCATGAGATAACATAGGGCACCGGACATTGAGAATAAGGTTTGGAGGCAGTATGCTATACTTCTGTAGGGACTGATTATTCCGACCTTACATGAAGGCCTTGGTCCGGCGACCTGCTTTCATAGTGTGGCTGGAGCTGTCAAGCTTTTGACAAGCCAAGCTCGACGAACCCTTTCGACCCTGAACCGATCAAGACTCAACCTTCCCCCCCAAACCCTAAACCCTAAACCCTAAACCCTAAACCCTAAACCCTAAGCGAAGCGGGTGCTTACCCCTGAGGTGCCCGGCCGCTAGTGCAGGTCGTGAGCAGCGGATAGACGCCGAAGCCCGCAATCAAGCAGCCCACCAAACTCCATGTTTGTGATGTGAAATACCTGGGGACGGGTTTAGGGTTTAGGGTGTTTGTGATGTGAAATACCTGAGAAAGTGTAGGCTGGGTAGGCGGGATCATTCGGTCAGAGCTTAGGGTGTAAGGGTTGAAGGCTTGATGTGTTGTGTGAAGTACCTGGTGGCAATCTTTTCAAGAGCATAAGCCATGTCAGATGAAAACCCAAATCTCAATCGCAGACTCTGAACCCAAAACAACCATGAACCACCCTAAGCCCTAAACCCTAAACCTCTATAAGCCAAGCCCCACAACCCCAAAACAAACAACCCAAAGGTCGAACCCCAAGGCGGCGAAAGGTATATCATACGAGAAGCATGCAGGGATTAAGGGCGTAACTGTAGTATACTGTATACTAGTATAGCTCTTATTGTGAAAATAGATATATAGGGGCTATATTAAGGGCAAACTATTCGAATGGGCTCTCTCACTATTCCGACCGCTGCATTACTCCGAGGCGGCCAAAGGCGCATGTACATGAACACCCAGACCTGGGCTCGCTTCAGTTTCGGGTTTTGAGAGGTTTCGGGCTCAGGGTCTAGGGTGTTGGGTTTACGACCTCTTTGCTCAAGTTGTTCCCGGGGATGAGTTCAAATCGTTAAGCTTGGGATGGCTGGGCATGATGTCCGAACCCTAAAGCCTACACCCTAAACCCTAAACTTGCTAAACCCTAAGAACTAAGCCTGGAGCTACGAGCCGCGAGTGCCTTGGGCAAAGTTCTGGGCGACCAGAAAGCCGAAACTTGATGCCAAATCCGACAAGAGCCCGATGCCTAAGTGCTCATCGACAGAAGCCTCATCGTTGCCAGAATTTAGGGTACGGTGGGGAGCTGTATAGACTTGAGGTATTGCGGAAGTTCGTCCATCTGCCCTGTGTCTGGGCCACCGGGCATAGAGCCAGATGGCCAAAAAGGCAGCCGCCGAGCGCATCTTTGACCCACAATCGAAAATCGAAAGCCCAGAGAGGATCAGCAAGGGCAGCACCTCTTGTCACAGTGAAAACACCCCCGAAGCCACCCTCTGAACATTTAGACACGTCGGGTGGTCGAGACCCTAAACCCTGAACCCTACCAACTCGACCGGCTCGGCCTCTTTCTTTGGGCACTTAGGGGTGTTGGGTGAACTCCGGGCCTTGCCCAAAAGGACACCCAGCAATCGATGAAGGTTGTTGGTAAATGCCTCAGGACCCAGGATCGGTCAGCAGTCAAAGGAGCAGTTTAGAGCCTAGGATTCAAGAGCCTACTAGCGGCAAACAACTTGTGAATCCAGCCCTAAACCTTAAACCCCTAAACCCTAGACCGTTGGGGACCTATCTTTGTAGGAGATGACTCGTAGCAACGCTTGCTGTAATTCTAAGAGGTCGGTTGCGTGGTGTCCAGATATAGCCAAAAGCTTACCGCGTGCGGCTCCGTGGTTTTGGGTTTAGGGTTTTAAGGGTTTCGGGTTTCGGGTTTAGGCGTTAGGGTTTAGGGTTCGGGGGTTAAGAAGATGTGTCCTTGGGGGAGCGTGGTGAGAAGCAGGAAAGCCTACGCAAAACCCGGTGCAGCCAGGCAGCCGTGCTCTGGTATTGGGATATGAGCAAGGCCAGAGTGGCCGGCATTATCGGAGTGTAGCTCGTGAAAACGTAGCCATTCATCCTGGTTTTGAAAGCATTCAGGGTTTAGGGGTTTAGGGCTTTGGGTTTAGGGTTTAGGGTTCAGGGGCTTAGGGTTCGGGGTCGCTTTAGGGTGGGGTTTTGGGTGTTATAGGGTTCTCAGGACTTCTTTCAAACTCGATGCTGGGACTCCACAGGGCAAAAACGGCCCGAAACTAGGATCACGCTGATTAAACACTGGATTCCAAGCTCAATGTTATTCTGCTTATTATTTCCACTGGTACTGCTGTTTCACTGCTAGTCTTGCGATGGCTATGTGTTCTGGCGGATGGCACTGCGGTTTTCGTGAAAACAGCGCTATCACATTCAGGTGCTAGTGCTGCCCTCTTTCTTCGTCGTACCCGAAGGAGTGAATGCTGGCTGTGACGATGAAAGCCCCACAGGTGCTGCTATTCATGTGGTGGTGATGATGCCAGCCATGATGAACCAACGATGACTATGATCAGGATCATGATGGCGATGGAGGCATTGATGAGGAAGATCCGGCAAAGGAGGAAGAGAATGATGGTGGTGATGGTGATGGTGATGGTGATGGCGATGGCGATGGTGGTGATGATGATG